CTCAGCTTCTACCACCTCCTCGGGGGTAACACCCAGCCCTCCCTCACAGGCTAGTAGTACCATTCACGCTCCCGCCTCAACCACAGCATCCACAAGTGCTCTCTCGCATGAGACAAGCAGCCTTCCAACTCGACACAGCTCGCCCGCAGGCGCAACAGTCACAGTAGGCCATGTGAGTTCCGGCACAGCATCCACCAGTACTGCCTCGGCAGAAGCAGAACTCTCCCCAACCACACCCAGCCCGACACACACTGCACACACCGATGCACCCCCACACAGCACCTCCACACAGACCACTTCTGGGGTGAGTGAGGCTACCACAGGCATCTTTTCCCCAGGTGCTCTCCCCGGGGGGACGCAAAGTTTGAGAACAACGCCCACCACGGAAGTGAGCGATGGCAGCGTAGCCTCAGCTTCTACTACCTCCTCGGGGGTAACACCCAGCCCTACCTCACACGGTAGTAGTACCATGCACGCTCCCGCCTCAACCACAGCATCCACAAGTGCTCTCTCCCGCGAGACAAGCAGCCTTCCAACTCGACACAGCTCCCCCACAGGCGCATCCGGCACAGTAGGCCATGTGAGTTCCAGCACAGCATCTGCCAGTACTGCCTCGGCGGAAGCAGAACTCTCCCCAACCACACCGAGCCCGACACACACAGCACACACCCATGCACCCCCACACAGCAGCTCCACACAGACCAATTCTGGGGTGAGTGAGGCTACCACAGGCGTCTTTTCCCCAAGTGCTCTCCCCGGTGCGACGCATAGCTTGAGAACAACGCGCACCACGGAAGTGAGCGACGGGAGCATAGCCTCAGCTTCTACCACCTCTTCGGGGGTAACTCCCAGCCCTACCTCACAGTCCTGTAGTACCGTGCACGCTCCCACCTCAACCACAGCATCCACAAGTGCTCTCTCCCGCAAGACAAGCAGCCTTCCAACTCGACACAGCTCCCCCACAGGCGCATCCGGCACAGTAGGCCATGTGAGTTCCAGCACAGCATCTGCCAGTACTGCCTCGGTGGAAGCTGAACTCTCCCCAACCACACCGAGCCCGACACGCACTGCACACACCCATGCACCTCCACCTTTTACAACTGCTTCTTCGGTTGGAACATCGAGCCCTGTCTTACAGACTAATAGCACCTTGACTCATGTCACTGGAACTACTCCATCTACTAGTACTTTAGGAAGGAGTAGCAGCATCGGATCTACGTTATCCAGCAGACCAATTCCAGGAGATCCTACCAATCCAATCACTTCCAAACGTACGACAACTTTCACACGTACCACCACTACAAGCCAGAATACTAGCAAGAGTTCCAGTAGCAAAACTACTACTGGCAAGAGCACCATCAGAAGTACCACAGGAGGTGAGCTGCAATTTTTATTTGATGAATATGTTCGCTAAATCAACTTTTTTATGGTGCAAAACTCATGAGGGCTTTTATATCTATTCCTCTGATTAGATGCGGGTGACCTGTGATCTGAAGAACAATCTAGAGGTTTTGATTTATGAGAAATGGATAAGGTTTAGGGCTGATTGAGTGCCAGTTTGATGACCCCGTATGCACCACATATCTATCCGAAATCACGTATAGAGACACTCCCTCTAAGCGTGCTTCTGGTATGAAGTGATTTTCCCTCCCAGCCTTAGGATTTCTATTCTGGGAATGAGATTTGTGCCCTTCCCAATATAGTAACTGCTCTCTGCATCTCCATTGGGCCTGTTGGCTGGGGCAGCTGAGAGTGGGAACTCAGCAACATTTGAAGGTCCAGAGGAAGCTCCCTCCTGTTCTGCTGGGATGGCAGGATGGACATCTTCTTTGGGAAATGTCTGTCTTGGTCCAGGGTTCTTGAAGAACATGATAGCACTGAATGTTTACAGGCTTTAGCTTGTGCAGATTACTCCACAGTCACAGAAAAATTGTTTTCATCTTGTTTTGCCAACTTTTGGCTAAAAACTGGAAGGAGACCTGTTATGCAGAACTCCTTCCCCAATCTTCTTCTGGAGACACTATTAATGATTGAGATAATTGTCCTTATTTGAATAACTTCTTTGCAATGTAAGCGTCTTAAGGAGGGATTGCTAGTACTGATTCAGAGCATCAACAGTTATTAGACATTGAAAAAATGTTGAAGAGAAAGTTGAAAAGATGAGGCAAGAATTTTTAAAAAAATAAAAAAAACTCCTTAATTTGATTACATTTTCCACTTCATTGCTTGAAAAATTGATCAGCCTCCCCATCCTTCCTGTCAGCTGATGTCAAAAGACTGAAAGAGTTGAAGAGCAGTGTTGCAATTTGGTTTCATGTGAATATGTCTGATCTCCTTCATTTATCTGGTAGATTGTTTATTTTTCATACATGTCACACTGTGATAAAGAATTATGCTTCTGCTTAATTTGTTGTCTTTAAGAATAGATCATAATTTCTAAATTAGATTTGTATGTGGGGGCTTCTCTCTTCCAGAGCTATGCTACAATGGTGGAACCTATGATGGAATCAAATGCATCTGTAATGAGGATTTATTCTATGGGCCCAAGTGTGAGTTCCCTGTTCAAGAATGCCTCAATGGTGGAACCTATGATGGAATCAAATGCATCTGTAATGAGGATTTATTCTATGGGCCCAAGTGTGAGTTCCCTGTTCAAGAATGCCTCAATGGTGGAACCTATGATGGAATCAAATGCATCTGTAATGAGGATTTATTCTATGGGCCCAAGTGTGAGTTCCCTGTTCAAGAATGCCTCAATGGTGGAACCTATGATGGAATCAAATGCATCTGTAATGAGGATTTATTCTATGGGCCCAAGTGTGAGTTCCCTGTTCAAGAATGCCTCAATGGTGGAACCTATGATGGAATCAAATGCATCTGTAATGAGGATTTATTCTATGGGCCC